GGACTCCAGGATCATGACCTGAGCTGAAGGCAGTCGCTTAACCAACTGAGCCACCCAGGCGCCCTTTTTGTTTTTAAAGATTTTATTTACTTGAGGGGGGCACAAGAAGGGGGAGCAGCAGGCAGAGGGAGAAGCAGACTCCCCACTGAGCAGGGAGTCCAATGCAGGGCTTGATCCCAGAACCCTGGGACCATGACTGGAACTGAAGGCAGACACTTAACTGACTGAGCCACCCAGGCGCCCTAATTTGTCAAAAATATCTGCCAAAAAGAGAGTCCTTACTGTGGTCTCTAGCAGTCTAATGGAACTTTCTTAATTTTATCTATATGTAATATTAAAAATATATAAATACTCTAAAAATCCTTGATTTGAGGGTGGTATAACAGAGCTAAAGCCTGTATTATTATCTGCTACAATTAAGTAAAGCTTAATACTGACAAAGAATTGCAGTAACAAAAGACAAAAATTCCTCACCTCGTGAAACTCAAAAATTATACTAGTGAGAATAAATAAAATATGTATGATAAACCAGTGCTACAGAGAAAAATAAATGAAGGGAGATGTAGAGTGTCTGGAGTGTTACAGTCAGGGGAACTCCTCAGTGATACTGAGATGGTTGAACAATGACAGAAGTGAGAGATCAAGTCTGGGAGACCACTGAGTAAAAGCGGATCCAAGCAGATGGAACAGTAAAGTGCAATCACTGTGAGGCAAGAGCACTTTGTTTTTTAACTAGCTGCACTATAATACTTTGGTAACATTTACAATTTTTACAGTTAGTGATTACTTCACTTACTGAAGAGATTCACTCAAATGTCAATCATCTTTTTCTTTTAACTAAATGAACCAAAATATAATTTCAGCTGAATAAAAACAGTATGGAATGACTGCTTCATCCTGTCTTACCCAAAGCGAGATGAGCCTGACAGAAATAAAATGTTACTTCCTCATTCTTAGTACAGTCAAGCTTCTTCATCAAGACTTACCTAGGATCTATTTCCTAAAACAAGGTTTTGCCACAAAAAAAGTCAAAGCAAGTTAAGTATTCAAATAGAAGCACTTCATTAAAATGGAATGAAGACTAGAGCTGAAAATATTCTAAAAAAAGTTACATTAGGAAAATTACAAAAAAATTAAGGTGGAAAAATTGTAAGAAATTTGCAAAATGTAAATAGCTAACAATCACAGAAATACAGGCTAGACCACAAATTTTCTTTGACAGAAAAGCAGTGTTCACTATTCTACAGTATTCCAAAACCCTAACAGAAGCTTAAGAGTTAAGTAAAAAATGCTATGAATATTATTTTGATTATTCATCTTCTAAAAATCAGCTTGTGAAATATTTACCCCAGGCCTCAATTACAAGATGTCAGTGTATATAACTAGACATTCAATACCCGCTTGAGGAATGAATGAATTTCAAATTTTTCTACAAGGGAAGCAACTCTTTTTTTCAAATAATTTTTAAAATTAATAATTACACACAGCACGTTTAGTCAGAATAATAAAATCATGGTAGAGGGGCGCCTGGGTGGCTCAGTCGTTACGTGTCCGCCTTCGGCTCAGGTCCTGATCCCAGGGTCCTGGGATTGAGCCCCTCATTGGACTCCCTGCTCCGCAGGAAGCCTGCTTCTCCCTCTCCCACTCCCCCTGCTTGTCTTCCCTCTCTCACTGTGTCTCTCTCTGTCAAATAAATAAAATCTTTAAAAAAATAAAAAATAAAATCATGGTAGAAATCACCGTAACTAAACTTTTAGGGTGCCTAAACTTACACATGTATTAATACTTCATAAACAAAATAATGTTCATCTTAACCTGTGTCTATCACAAAACAAATCAAAATAAAAAGTGATCCGTAACTCCCTCCATAGTTTCATAATGGTTCAAAATGGGAATTTGTTTCAGCGCATTATTTTATATCTAAAAGAAATCTAAACTCCTCCCAAGGTGACTTTGAGCCTAAAAATTTGAGCATGGGTGGTGAGGGGTTGGGGCCTGGCTGGCTCAGTGGGTGGAGCATGGGACTTATGATCTTGGGGTGGTGGGGTGGAGCCCCACCTTGGGTGCAGAGGTTACTTAAACATAAAATCTTTAAAAAAATTTTTTGAACATCACTCTTGTATGATCTAATAACGGTTGCATTTATATATGTAAGATTTAACTTTTTTATTTTAAAATAATTTTACACTTAATTTGTTTAAACTTTGTGGGTAGTCTTCTTAAAATATAAGTTCCTTGAGGGCAGAGATCTCTAAAAAGAGCATTGTACATTGAAGATGTCCAATTAGGAATACTCCTGTGGCTTCTGTAAAGTCAATATAAATAATGTTTTTAAATGAGTTTCCTATCAGCTAAGAGGAGCATAAAATAACTGAATTTCTACTTTAAAGAGGGACTTCTTTTTCCGCTTAAAAATAAATGTACACTGAACTTCCCTAAAGCTTGCAGACTCAGTGGGATACCAAAAGACAATTATTAACTGGCATAGGAAATTACAGGGGTCCTTTTAAGAAGCCTTTAAAATACTCACTAAAATATAAAAAGTTACAGAAATTTAGAAACAAACAATGAAACTGAAGATAGTACAATAATATACCCACATATTAAGGCTGTTTTCCAAAGGGTGGTCCCCCGAAAATAAAGGGGGAAAAGGGAACCAATCCTCCGCGAGCTGATAGGGAACTTGGCACGTTTCAAGGCACCCTGCCTTACACTGTCTCACTTGACTGTCACAGCAACCCTGTGGCCTAATTTTATGAATGGGAGAAACTCAGCATCAAAAGATTAAGCGACTTGCCCAAGGTCAGTCAAGAAAATTAGTGGTTCAGCTCTACCTAGAAGGGTGCACTTCACCTGACACTTTCTACTACACATCGCCCTGCCTCCCCGACTGAGGCATTAGCGAGTAGAACAGTGAATCTACCCTCGCCCTGCCAAAGAGGCGGGGGCTTGCCTCTGAAAGCTTTCCCTAGCCGCTCAGTCGCAGAGAATAAAGTTGTGCAGATCACCGATCAGCCCAGTGAAGTGACAACCTGACAGGCGCAGCCCCCAAAGGACCAGCTCTGCATTCCCAGGAGCCCCTCCGAACCCGGCGCCAGCGAGACTGCTCCCGGAAACGTCTGAAAAACCTCCCAGTGAGTTTCGCCCCCTCCTGGGCGCGAGGAACGAGCTGGGAATGAGCCAGAGGGCGGCCGGCCACCCGAGCCAGCCATGTGTCCAGCCCGTCACGCCCGCCTCGCCTCAGCCGGCTCCTCATGCCTTGACCGCAGCCAGAGGCCCAGCTCAGGATCCGACGCAAAGGCTGCCTTGGCCGCCACCACCACCGCAGCAGCCTGAGGCGCCCTGGCGTGGCACTCGCAGTCAGGTCCCCGCCCCACCCCTCCAGTTGGGCCCCTCAGCGACGCCGTCCGCGCCTCTGGCCAGGCCCAGAGGGCTCGGCCTGCCACAGTCAGCCGCCCGCCCGGCGTCCTTACTTCATTGAGCTGGCGCTCCGCGGCCTCACGCAGGGCTGGGTCCATGGTGCCCCGCAGGGCCTCGATAATGGTGTTGGGGTCCATCGTAGCGCGGACTCGGTCAAACCCGGGGCTCGGGTGCTACTGGGCCAGGAATAGCGCCGCTCACTGCGCACATGGACCCACCGCGCTCCGCAGCGGCAACCGGCGCGAAAGGAAAGAGAAGCGCCAAGGCCCCGGATAGAACCTCTTCGCCTCGGCGTGGAGGCGGGAGATGCTCCAGCCACTTCCTGTCGGCGCGCGCGCGGGGCACCTTGGGAGATGTAGTCCGCGAGAGCTTTCCGCAGCCCACGTGCCCCTGAACTGCCGCTCCTACTGACAAGTCTTGCTTTTCAAAAAAGGAAAAATGTTCAAACTGCACAGGAAAAAATTAAATCAAACGCAAAACATTTCCCATAATTATATACCCATATACCCATGGTGACCGAGAGGCGAATCTGATGCAATGTGTGATGCGATCCATTGCTAGTAGCTTTGTAATTGAGGGTAATCTTTTGAAAAGCAGTTTGAGATGTGTTTCTAAATGCCATAAAAATGTTCATAATCTTTGCCCCAAGAATTCCCATTCATGAGACTTTATCCTAAGGAAATGACACAAAAGATTAAATGAGCTTTATGTGTAACAGGTATTATAACATTACATATTTATGATTACCAAATACTAAAAATAGGGCTTTTATTGAGTATCCAAATTTTGGTAGGAACTTTATATAAATCACCTGTAAATGCAGAATAAGACATAATCCCTATTAGAATCCCACCTTCTTTAAAACAGTTACAGAAACAGTTTCAGAAAGGTTAAATAACTTGCCCAAGTTCACTTAGTAAGAAGCTGACCTACGATTTCAAATCCTAGGAGGTTTCTGTTTTGAAAGTTTTCATTCTCTTCACTGAATCACTCTGCCTTTCAAGAGAAATGTCAATATGAGGATTTTTAAGCAAATTGAAAGAATTCAATCAATTAAATATTTCACAGCCATTAAAAATTACAAATATTATATACATTGTAACAACACAAAAACAGTTATGTGAGGCTATGGCTTTGTAACATGGACAAAACCTGGGAAACAAAGCTGGCAAAAGGAATCAACTGATTTTCTAGGATGGTGAGATTTTGAGTAATTTCCTTTTATATTTGTCATCGTTGTAATAGTTATGTAAACATATTTACTTAAAATGAATCACAAATCTTCAAATGCAACTTCTTAAAAGATCACTTACTGTTTTCAGTTTGCAGAAAGGAGAAAGGGGGCATGAAAGTCTTTCCCTGGAATAGTGGACTTTGCAATATTAATATCTCTTTTATGCCAACCATTGTGTCTGGAAGTGAGGTTTATATAATTATTCCCAATTTACAAATGAAGAACCCAAGGCTCACATAAGCTACTTAAATTGTGAAAGATCATAAAATTTCCATAATATAACCTGTTGTTAGCTCTATCAGTGTACTGATACAATCTGTTTAAGAATTTCCTCTCCTTGGGGCTTCTAACTGGCTCAGTAGGAAGAGCATGCGACTCTTGATCTTGGGGTCATGAACTATTGATCTTGGGGTCCTGAGTTTGAGCCCCACATTGGGTCTACACCTAGAGATTCCTTAAAAATAAACTTTTGGGGTGCCTGGGTGGCTCAGTCATTAAGCGTCTGCCTTTGGCTCGGGTCATGATCCCAGGATCCTGGGATCAAGTCTCACATCAGGCTCCCTGCCCAGCGGGAAGCCTGCTTCTCCCTCTCCCACTCCCCCTGCTTGTGTTCCTTTTCTCACTGTGTCTCTCTCTGTCAAATAAATAAATAAAACCTTT